GGAAGAATTGGAGGAGGGGTGAATATGATCAAAACATACTGTATGAAACTCTCAAAGAACTAATATTTAATTTTTTAGTTAGAAAAAGTGCATATCATATTTTAGCCTTAAGACTCTGCTACGTTGGCACCGTTTGATAAGAAATATTTCTAAGAACAGTGCATATTTCATCATTTTTGTTCTAGTCTTAGAAATCAGAGTTTTCTTCTTTTGGTCTACTAAAATCAGTTATTTCCAGTGGCCCACCATTATGTAAGAAAGGGCAAGAATTACATAACTAAGACAACTCAGTAACAAATTATCTGCTTAATAATTAACATTAAAACATAAATGAAAAAAACTATGTGATTTTTTCCATGCCCCTTAAAGTCATATAAACAAATTATTTCAGCATTCAGAATAGAATTTATTTCATTTTCTAAATTTCTCCCTTTCAGATCCCAGGCCAGATTGATTTTCACTTTCAAATAGAAATGTGTAATTTTTCAAAACATACATAATGCAAAGCTATGCAAGTTTAATGCCAAAGACATTCAAGATATAATAAAATGATTACCCTCATGAGGATATTACATGCTTAAATAATACTTAACGTAAGTAGAAAGTCAACAAAAATTTTATATTTACAAAATATAATGCTTCTTAAAATGGCAACACAATATAACCTCCCCCCAAAAATCCTGATAATAGATAATATTTATATTTTGCATGATTTTCTAATAAAACAATTATAAGTGAAAATAAATTCTTTGAGAGAAGTACTAGTTCATCTCTGCCCTGAGACTTTTGCATGAACTATAGATTCTACTGGATGAAGGGACCCAGTTCATAGTCATGAAGAAATAACTGGTACATGGTGACATCTTGTACAGCATTCCCCAAAACCTCTCAATGATAGTAAGATCACCCTTCCTGAGTACATGCAGGACACATGTAGCAACAGGCAAAGATGCTAATACATTGGTTACAATACACCTGTTACCCTTTTTAGATATTTCACAATAATGCATGCACCCAGGGTACTTCTCATCTCCAGGTCCTCCATAAACATCATTGGTTTGTAGTGTGAAATTAGTACAAGAACTAGTGTGAAGGGGAGTTCCTGAAGAAAAGGAGTTTCTACAAAGGCCATTTGTCTGATTAAAACTTCAATAACTAGGGAGATAATAGAATATCAGAGGTCCAGAGCAATTTATCTTGGGCTATCTTTAGCCCACTAGAGAGTCATTCTTCTCTCCCATCCCTGAGGAGATTGATCTAATATTCTGATGACAAATAAAAAACTTTTAGAATTTATTTACTTAAAAAAACCCTAGTTATCCACTAACCAGAAGACTAAGATAACATTTGAGGCCTGTAGATGAGATTTCTGGGCTGTGTGGTAACCATCCACTTACTGTTTCTACCAAACCTTTTGAAAGCACCTTGATTTATGACTTTCTTCATTCTTTCACTATAAAAAAGTCCTGAAAATGAAACCATACTGGCACACAGAATTTGGAGTGACCTAAATCTGTGTTTCTGGGCCATGGTCACTCATTTTTGGCTCCAGAAGGAAGTGTCTCTTATTCCCTGTGAAGTGAGAAATGGTTTATGCATGGACAGTGGTATCAAAATCTAGCATTCCTGCCTGGCTGTCAGCTTTGTAACAGGATTTGCCAGTTACCTAAATAGTACATTACTGCTCACTTCAATTTCCTGTGCATGCTCAAGCTGTTGCCATTACCTCAAGAAGTAAATAGAACATTTTCAGTGACATTTCTTAAACCTTCTTATAAATATTTGGCAACAGGTCTTTAGTATTACATCCATCAATGCCTATTGGGAGTGTCTGTCATTTGAACTAAGACAAAGTCATTCATCTTAAGCAGCATCATTGCAGTTAAATCTTAATCAGTCATGATGGGCTCACAGTGAGAAATTCTAAGAGACTGGATGGCTTTGAAAATACACATATTAAAATTTAACTGTTCAGAGACACAGTGCACTTCTTTGTAATGTGTATACATAGTAGAACAGTCAGCATGAATCAGGGAGACTTGTGTCACCTCTCCTAATTTAGAGGAACCATAATTGCATCTTTGTTTGCAGATGAGCAACCTCTGAGACTTGACAAAATGGCTTCCACCACACACTTTACCTAATTATCTTCAGTTTCCCGGAAGTTAGCTACCAAAAGACAGACCAGCTTTTAATGTCATGGGTAAAGCTAACATGAGTGATTAGATTAAGCTGAAGGACTTCAAATTATCCAGTGAAACTCTAACAGGAAATAAAGTCGTTGTTTTGAATTTTAATCGCCAATGTTTGGTTTCTATGTGCAGAGCAAATAAAGGGTCACATGGAGAAGTTGTTACTGAGCTAGCATTGCTTTGATTATCAAATCTTCCCCTTCGGTTATTAGAGACCCCAATTTAAGGCCTCTCTCTCACAAATATATGCATGAACATAATATGTATATAACATATATATTATATACATATTATTAGATTTTTCCCATAAGCCATGAAATACTTTTGAGAAAATATATTTTCAGTTAAAGCATGCCACTGACATGTTTCCTATATAAAATTGTATTTATAATAAAAACAAAATTGGAGGCAATAAGAAAATTAGAAACAAATTTTAATGAGAACTCTTTTTGGTGAGGACCAAATACTATGTTTTAAAGTAGTATTAATGTAGTATTAATATTAAGGTAATGTTTCTGGATGAAATGGATCATGTTTACCATGGCTCAGTAGTAGTACCCTATGGATACAGGAGTTTAATGTTTCCTTCTCCACACTGTATGTCCCTGGGGGCATCAAAGAGGGGTGGGGGAACTGCTGCAATGCTGTTTAGTGTGAACTGTGACCTAGAAAGTAATTGATGTGCACTGAGACTCATCACATTTTAGTACTTCTGAGGAAAAGCAACTGCTGCACCTATGAGTCTTGGAGGTCTTCCTCAGCAGCCATACACCCACTCAGTCATCCTGGGAGAAAAGCCAAGTACTGATACCAGCAAAGCCATCTTGACAGCTCACTTGTGTTCAATTTCAAGTATCTGATTCTTGCTTTTTCAACAGTTTCATAGATTAAGAGAGTCTTTGATAATATCACTAATTTTAAGTTTTATTTTAAGTCTATGTATTGATTAATAGTACATTGCTACTTAAGCTATAAAAGCCAGGAAAATTCTCCTTATTTTATTTTTTTAAATGTATTTGTTTTATATGTATGGGTGTTTAATCTGTATGTACGTCTGTACATGAAGTGCCTGTGGAGAACAAAACGAGGAGGCTGATCTCCTGAGATAAAGATGATTGTGAGCTGCCATGTGGATGATGGGAACTGAATCTGGTTCTTCCAGGAGAGCAGTAAGTGCTCTTAACTGCTGAGCTACCTCTCCAGTCCCTATGCTTCCTTTTATTAAATAGAACTTTTTAATAGTTCAGCACTACTGGATTGTTAGTAAGATTTACCTGATTTATAGGATGAATTTGATTATGGTTTGATGAACTGTAAAGTTCCTTTGTTTTTCTCCTTTTAGAACAGAAAATTACTAAAAAGAAATGAGAGGTCATTATTATGAATCAATATTTTTATTTATTTATTTTTCATAATATATATTTAGATCACTGTTTCCCCCGGCTCAAATTCTCCCAGGTCTTCTCCACTTCCTTACCCACCCAAGTTCATGTTCTCTCTCTCTCTCTCTCTCTCTCTCTCTCTCTCTCTCTCATAAAAAAAAATGAAAATCAAAAAGTGAACACCATAAAAGTGTGAAATAAATGCCAAAACAAACTAAAACAAAAAGACCCCCCCCAAAATACATGAATTCTTTGTATTGGCCAACTACTCCTGGGAATAATGCTTGCATAGGAGTACGGTTGATACATCCAGGGACACTCAGTGGACAAGGCTGTTTTTCCTTTTCCCACAGTTATCAACTACAAATAACTTCTATTTCCGGTAGCTGGGGTTTTGTGTACACTTCCCGTTATTTGTAGTAAAATTTTTGCCTTGCAGGAGTCTGTGCAGATTGGTGCATGCTGCTTCGCTCTTTTCTAAGTTTGTATGTACATCAGTTCTTTTGTGTCTGGAATCTTGGTCTATTATATCATGAAAAACACCTAAAGAATTTATCTATATTTCTTCCTCATCAGCTATTTTTCTGATGTGAGCCACCAAGAGAAAAAAAAAACTATTCCTCTGGATGGAAAGCAGAAAACAAAGAGAAAAAGACTCTAAATAACAAGTACAGAGAGAACTGAAATGTCAGACACTGAAAATACCCAAGTGTTAAGTTAGAAGGAGCGAATGTCACTCACTAGGAAGAAGTCCATTGTAGAGTAAGAAGTCACAGATGATAGGAGGAGGACGAACTATTTTCTTGTTTTGTAGGGGAAAAACACCTCCAATTTCCCCAATAATTTGATAAATAAATGTCACAGAAAATAATAAAAAGTTTCTAGAAATAGGAGTATTCCTAATGTGATGTCATATCACTACTATGTATCCCTGCTTGATAAAACATTTGAAGAAACCAGCATCAATTAAGGAAGACCTAAGAACTCTAGTGTGACAAGAGCAACTGCACACCATCTAGGAACACATCCTGGCCTGATATGAGTTCCATGAACTCCTAGTAAACATTTTAAATACTACATTCTAAGTCTTTCCTAAAAGGCTTTTCTGAGCCCTCTGAGGGCCCAAGGCAGAAACCCTTAATAGAAACATTCCTTACCCAGACGGATTGTATTTTCTTCCACTCCAGAGGAGTAAGCACAAATAATATATTTACGTAAACGTGCAAATTCTGCTTTCCCAAGAATGTATGGGAACATATGAACAATATACATACATACATGCATATGTAAATATATAGAGAGTGTACATATATATTCACAAATATACATGTATACATTCACAATACAAATGTCCTTAGTCACCATCGCTGTGCCACCATAACCATGTTCTCCTCTTCCCTCTCCTCCTCCCTTTCTACTGGCTTACCTCTCTCCCGCCTTGTACTGCCTCCAGTCGTTTCAAGCTTAAACCCTGAAAGAAAAAGGATATATGATACATAATTATACACAAGGAATTAATGAATAATCATAAAAACACTGTAGTGAGTAAAAGTACTCAGGATTTAGTTCAGACAAAGGACTTTGCTTTGTAGTGTTATGTCTGTTTTGCATAGGAGAATAAGAAAATGCAAGTCCTTAATACACACTATGCTTAAAAGAAAGAAGGGTTAATCTGTATTTTAGCAAGACAATTGCAAAAACGTTCTTGTGACTCAAGATGGAGAAATAGGGTTATTAATTGCTTATGTCTCTATCTGTTGTCTGTCTGTCTGTCTGTCTGTCTCTCTCTCTCTCTCTCTCTCTCTCTCTCTCTCTCTCTCTCTCTCTCTCTCCATCCATATCTATCTACCTACCTATCTATTTATTATTCTCTCCATCCATCCATCCACAATGCCATTATTATTTGTAATCTATGTTCATTGAATCAATGCAAATTAATGAGGGAATATAGTAGAAGACTGATTTAATATCAAAACCAAATGCAATAGTTAATGCCTACAGTTATCCTAGTAGTGGTTGTTTATCTTGGAGAAATGAGGTAGAAATCACATCAATGCTGCAGCACTTTTTTTTTTCACATTTTTCTCATCCTGACTCCTTCCTTTCATTCTCCTTTTCCTCTTTATTTTAAAGAATTTGTTTATTTATTAAATGGTTCTCTGATTTATGCATTGTATTAGATATTGGAAATACAAAAGTAAGTATATATAAAAGAGTCCCCAAAGATCAGATGATTGGGCCAAATATATGTGATGACCGTCTTCCAGGTGGAGAAGGAAGACATATAAAGGTCTCCTTCCTAAAAAGGGCTGACATAGTCTTAAAATTCAGACTAACTTCCTTTCATTTTATTCATTTGCATATACATATATGCAAATATACATACGGACTTATAATGTTCTTTATCAATAGGTATATTTTAAATGTTCATCACAGAGTAATAATAAATTCTTGAAGTGATATATATAGTAGTTGTTCTGACTTGATCATTATAATTTGTCTGCACATATCGAAACCTCAGACTTTATCTAATAAAGTGATACAGATGTTATATATAATTAAAAATATGTTAACAGAGGCTGGAGAGATGATTCTGGCTGCTCTTATAGAAGATCCGAGTTTGATAACTAGCACCCACATGATGCCTCACAACTGTCCATAACTCCAGTTCCAGGGGTTTAGATGTCCTCTTCTGGTCCCTATGGGCACCAGGCACCAACATGGTGTGCAGACACACATGAAGCCAAATTACACATATGCATATATGCATAAGTTACTTTTTTCAGAATTAAAAACTAACAGAAAATAGAAACATAGATACAAATTTATACTAACAAATTCAAAACATATTTTTTGATTTCTCTAGCTGATTTAACATAGTGGGAAAACATGGACTTTTTTTCATAACAAAATTAAGAAGTTCAATTTGTTATAGTATTTCTCTATTCCTGATGAGACTCTGAATGTTCCATAACTTGAGTTATAAATTTTCATTGTCTTCAACATATCAGGTAAAAAAATGAATTTGGGAAAATAATATGCTATGCTTAAATAATCTAGCTATACATTTCATAATTTAACAAAAACCCACTAACTCTTTATTATGATGCTAATTAACAAGCATGTTATAATAATTTAAATATTTCATATTTACAGAGATTAAAATATTGGGTTATTCCTTTGAGCATCAGTATTTATGCTTAGGAGATTATGCAGTGATGTTTCAACATATCATTTCTCCATATATGAAACTACTTTCTTGAATTATTCTGATAAAGCTATGGAAGAAAATATTATTCAAGCCCCTGCTCCCCTTCACAGAACACACATTACTTTGTTGACTCTGCAAAAGATTCTAAAATCCTTTCACAATATGGATAACCAAATTTCAGCCTGCCTTCTGAACAGAGATGTGTCCCCAATCATAGAACACATTTTGAAAAGTTTGAATTCCAAGGAAATCCCAAGGAAAGAATATAAAGCCAAACAGCACTTCTCAAACATGGATGATATGGATAAAAATACCTCGAAGTGGATTCATTTACACATGTTTTAGCATCTGGAAGCAGTATGCAGGGTCATGTTTGAATTCAGGATGATGTGGTTTTCATCTCTAGTTCCCAAATTCTGCGTCTGTCCTTCAACATATTTCACAGTCTCTCTCACCATAATCTTTGCAGTTTAAGTTGATAATCATCATAACTAGCACATCTGTTCATCTTGAAGGTGAAATGAGACATGAGCTATGCACAACAAAGGCCAGTGCTGCTTATTTCTCTTCATCTTCCAACTCATCATCTACTCTCCAGTCTCATCGTCATTATTCCACATATGTTTAAATATAAGACCAGTTTAAATAAAATACTTGTGGTTTTCCTTAAATTTGAAAAACACAAATTATATAGGAAGTATTCATGAACAGACAAGGAGACAAGTCACATTTTTGGCACACATTTTTTTTCTCATAGGATAATTTAATAATTAACTTTTGAGACAGAATTTTTAAAATATTTTTTTGTGGTGCAATGTACTGTTTTTTAATTCAATCTTTCTGTTCTTCACTCTTCTGACTACCTTTTTTAGGGGTTTAAGTTAATTGTTATTTGTCCCATTTGACACTGATACCTTATTTTGTCAAATAGTTTCGATTTCCCTGATTCTTCATTTTGCATATTTTCTATAGTTGTATCTACACATTTATTGGCCTTTTAATCTACATTATCTAAACTGTGACAGTTTGTTAACAGTTTTATTTTACATTTTTATATATAATTGGTATTATCATGTGGTTTTTTCCCATCCTTAAACCCTTCACTTATTTTTATACAAAACAAATACTTGATTGTATTGTCCTTTGTCATTTCCAACTCTATTTCTATTGGCTGAATTTTCTTACTGGTTGTAAATCTCACTTATCCATTTCCTCTCTTTTCCAGTAATTCATTTTGTCTGACAAATATTGTGAATTTTATTTTATGAATGCTAGATTTTCTCTTTAGAGAGCTAGAATTACTTCTTGCAGACTTTTAAGTTTCTGCTGATTCAAACTAATTCCTCTGCGGCTTGGATGAAAGTAAAGGGAAGAATCTAAATTAGTTTTCAGTGTTAAATCCTGCTGTTCCTAAGACTCAGCTCTGTACTCTCCATTAAATATACAGGATATCATAAACACTGTACTGACCTAGCCAAAAGGAACTCCAGACTGTCAAAAGTACTGGTCATACCAGCATTCATGATACTCTAGTAACCAACCAACTTCCTTCCGGTTGCTTTTCTCCAGGCCATGGGGAAGGTTAGATTATATATCTGGAAATTCCCATTTAAAGACTTTATTGCCAACATGAGATATTCCCATAATCTTCAATTAGCTGAGCAGTGACATTTAAGACAAGTGGTGTTTTCAGGTCAACGACATCCAGTCTCCTTCCTTCCCATCTACCTACCACAGAAGAGAAAACTTTTGGCATTCCTTATGAGTCTTCTTATTTCCACTGAAGCACAATGAATTCATTTAGAAGAAATTTAATGTATTTTCACTCTATTCTCTGAGACAGTTGGGCTTTCAGAAAAACAAATAAAAACATCAGCAGTCAAGTTATTCATGTGTATATATTCAAATTTGTGTGCATATTATCTAGCTCTTAAAACTAATACAAACAGAGAATTCTAATTGATTTGAAATCTATTTCAATATTCTTCAGGAGTATAGATATAATATCTATCTAGTATGTCTAAAGTAAATTATATTTTAAAGCACTCTAGGGAATGTGACTTGGCAAAACATATTTCCCACAGTATATGTATTTTCTCAGTAGAGAGTATAAACTCTTTGCATTGATCAAAATTAATCACCCAAGACCAAACCAAAATATTATAAATTGTAGGTAGAGAGAAGAATTACCCTGAAGCAAATGTTCTGCTGTGTACTAAATTAAGATGGTTTAGCAAGGCCTAAGTAGAAAAAGTTATTAACTGAAAAAATAGAACTTCTTACCCAAATCTCCCCTGTACTTAGATATTTGTGTATGGGCCCTTGCAACTATGTGGGTATGGGGTCAATTGGGTTGATGGGTGGGATAGTTGAGTAGGTGTATGATGTCAGCTGTCAGAAAACTGGGCCTGTGAGACATTATCCCCTTCATGATGGTCAGAATCCTCTTGCAATTCCTATCATCCCATGTAGATAATCAGCTCTGCACTACCCCAAATGATGGAAACATGCTATCCAGAATCTATGACTTGGTTGGTTTATTTATCTGATATAGAAATATACAGAGTGGATGTATGGAATACACATTTTACTCTTAGTACTTAAGATAGTATCATGTGATTTTTTTTAGACTTAAAATATTATGAATTAATGGGATGAAGTAAAAATCTATTATTAAAAAGCTTATAATGACTGTGTGACTTTTTAACATTTAGTCTCGGTAATGAGGCACAGAGGAGAGACAAAGGCTCTGTCAATAGCTTGAGGTTCAATAGCTCCATTGGACAGAGAAGGAAGCTTGCAGCTAGGAACTTGATTTTTCCTTTGTGGCAGTTTCAGAATTCGAATCTCAGCCATTTGGGTTCAGATTCGAAATTATCTTTGTCTAACAAAATCTTGCTAATACATCTATCGTGCATCTTGTCTGAAATGCTCTGTAACTTTTGGAGCATTCTTGACCACATATTCCAAATTTCACAGCTTTGAAATTTGTAATTTTGTAATTTTAGGCATAATTGAGATAATCTACATGAAACACAGCACCATTCCCAGCCCCACAACTGTCTACAGTGTGTTTTGAACTTTACTTGTAGTTTGAGATACCACTGCTCTTGGCATTGTACAAATGAAAGTGTGACTCTACCATAGTTCTAAAGTAACCATTTTTTGCTTGTTTCCTGTACATCACTGTACTGACTCAGTGTTCCAACTGGATTAATTCTATTCATACAGTCAACTTGTACAAGGTGGAACAAAATGAC